GAGTTGATCCAGTTTGTCACCATGGCGATCTTCACAAGCTCAGCACAGCACGCAGCTGTGAATTCTGGACAGGTGAATCCTTTTAATGCTGTTTTTTGAATTAATAGATGAGGATCCAGGGCTGGAAAAATAGAATGGCATTTGACTTCACACACATTCAAACAGTGATCGATGACGCATCACAAACACAAACTAACATTTATACAATGATGCACAACATCGGGAGCAATTTGGGGCTCAGTATCTTGCTCAAGGACAATTCAACATGCAGCAGGAGGAGCTGGGTATCGAACTGCCAACCTTTTGATTAGATTGACAGACGACCCGCTCTACCTCCTGAGTTACAGCTGCCTACAGCAAGCCTAAACTAGATTCTAGAGCCATGCTAGCAGGGCGTGGCTTCAAAAAGTATTAATCACTCATCTGTCAATCATTCATTGCAGTTTGACTATGGTGGCTGGATGCCCAACACTCCCATCTCCCTGCAACGTCCTCCACCAACCACAAAGGGGAAAACAAGCGAGGCCACAATGCTGGAGACATTGCCTGCTGTCAACACAACAGTTCAGGGAATGGCCGTCATGTGGCTACTCAGCAGACAGTCCTCTGACTTCGTAAGTGACTTAATAAAAAATACAATTGTGTAAATTCAACAACTTTCTACAACTGCAAATTAAGTTGTCAATAGTGTACTTTTAAAAAATGTTTTTTTTTAAATGTATCATTGATCTCATCAGGTCCCTCTTGGCCATTACCCAGAGGACCATTTCAGTGAGAAGATTCCCTGCAAGCTGATACAGGATTTTCAAGGAGAGCTTGAAGTGTTGCATGTAATCATCAAAGTCAGAAATAAGAGTCTGGAAGTCCCATACACATACATGGATCCAACAGAGGTAGAAAATAGTGTGGCCATTTGAATATCCGGTGGTGTGTCCTCAGCCGTGGGCCAAATTCAGCTTCATATTAACAAAAGTGAGAAAGGGAGGAACGGCATGTTGTTAACTGATACTATAGTGGAAAGAAACTTCTGCATGTGATCATTGTATGTTGATCTGTGTGTCTTTTTATTAAGCCTAATTAATTAACTGTGGTGAAAATATACTGCTTTTCTAATACACACTAACACGCATGTTCTTTCATGAACAACAGAACGACAGTTTGCACTTATCATGCATATGAATACAAAATGAATGTGACTTATTCGTCATTTAATTAATGCAGCAAAACCCTCATTCAGCACAGTGCCAAATTGATTTGATTTGATTTTTTAAAATTTAAATAAGATGTTGTCTTAGAAGATTTGTCTCACTTATCATGTTGTGTGTAATGTTTCTGCATTTAATAATTTCTCTGTGTGGCAGTTCATTTCTGATCACTTCTTTCCACTCACACTGAGGTCTACTTTAATCTGATACCACAATCACTCATCAAAATAAAGCTTTGG